AGAGACAAGATGATTGAATACTGTAATTTACCCCATGTTTGCTGCAAGCTTTATCCTCGATAGTTAGCTGTTCTTCCCACATTTTCTCTGCCATTTTCATGGCTCGCAAGCTACCGCATCCGTGGGGGCGAGATGATATATCATATATGTGATTCGTTTCCACTCAAATGCTATCCAGTGGGAAATTCACGGTTCACGAAGGGTTGACATATTTATAAAAAGTTGCTAGATAACGCGGTGTTTCACAGCTGCATTTGTTCTTTTTCTTTGATTATTTGAGTAGTTTTCAAAAAGAAGAAGAAGAAAAAAAGACAAAAAGCAGAAACTGTCCAGACGGCCTATTGCGGTGTTTTTGGGAATATTTTCTTGTCATGATGGTAACATAGTGGCGTAATTTTTTCCTTTCCTATTAATTCTGGTAAGAAGTTTCATGGTATCGAGGCAATTCTGGAGATTTCTAGCTAGTAAGTAAATCTAAAAAATACTTCAAAAAACATACAGAAGAGGAAATAAATGGCTGTTTTGTTCGACTTGCAAATGGTCATCGACTCAGTCCAATTGACTTCAACTGAAGTTGCTCAGATCTTCAAATTATACATGCGTCGTCAGTCCAGTGCATGCAATCCGTGTGCCTGATTGTCGATATGTGGCGATTTAACAACTAATACAGTATGGCGTTCATGAGTACGACCACTGGAAGTGCCACCTACGAAGCCGAAGAGCGCGCAGTTGTTGTCTCTGATGGGGAAATCAGTCAAGCCCTCAACAAGCCGTCCTATGAACCTTGGTTGTCCCGACTTATGCAGCGGTGGAAGCAGGTTCATTCTCGACTGCCTGGGTTTCGCCGATCCTCACCGCGTATCATGGATATTCCTCCAGACCTTTATATAGATGCCAATGGTCTTCCTGGAAATGTACCTGAAGACGTTTCAAAAGTGCTTAAAACTATCTCAGGCGTCATGGAGGAGCTGCAAGTACCATGGTTCATCGCAGGAGATTTACTACTCGCCTACTATCGTGTCCCACAAATTACAGGGGTAATTCAGATGCGTATAACGTATCTATATCTGTCAAATAACAATTTATTTCAACAGGATCTGGAAATAGTGGTACCTTCTGAAAATTTGCCTCGCGTGCAGGCAGCATTCGACATGCTGGCTGATTTCTATTTCCCATTTCGATATGCACGCTCGGAATACGCTCGCCATCTACGGCCTTACCCTCGCTTTAAGGTCAAGGGTATGCATCAATGCTTTTGCTTGGTACCAGGTCATCACTATGGCGTGCACCCTAAAGGGTTCCAAGACATCCTCAGCAACTTAGATGAACGCTTCCTGCCTCTTCCTCATTACATACAAGGACTAGTCACCATGATTTTGAACAAACATATCGTCTTTCCAAATAATTTCTTGTGCCAATTGGAATTCCTGATTGATGGGTCGGACCTCGACGAAGATTGGTGTAACTTGTATCTTGACGGGCGTCCTCGCGCCTTTGTCAGATCCAGAAGTTCACGAGTTGCGAAGAAAAGCAGAATGGGATCAACCCCGAAACACGAAGGAAATTTGACAATGCATATACGAAATGAAGAAGAAAGACAAGAAGCTTTGCGGGTCCCTGGCCGCACAATAGATCTTCTGGGTATGCATTTCTTTTGAACTAACTCTTTTCCGCTGAAATATATCTGCCTAGATCATACGTTATCCCTCCAAGTAATGAGCGATATGCACTTGGAACTGACATTCCTAAGAGCCGAGGATTCAAGGCCAGGATACGAGGTCTTCCACTGTGCCCCTTGTTCTCCCATGTTGGCGCTTCTGGGGGATATCGGAATAACAACGCAAGATGGGTTATTCGGATTCCTTCGACGCCAGCTCTTCCAATATGAGAAAGTTTTCTTTCTCATGGGCAATCACGAGTTTTATCAGTCTACTTTCGTATGTTTTATTTCTCTTTATTTCCGCCGTACTCATTGAACATCTGGACCTCAGGAATCTGCAAAATCTGTGATAAAAAAATTCAGCGAAGATGTTCGGAAAGAGAGAGTGACCAATGTCGCTTTGGGTAAATTTATCTTTCTCGATCAAACTCGTTACGACTTAACAGACGGAGTGACCATTCTGGGATGCACCCTTTGGTCACATATACCCTCCACAGCCGCAGAACTCGCGAGCCTTCAAGTAAATGACTTCAAACGAATAAAGGAATGGTCTGTAGAGAGGCACAATGCGGCTCATCTGGCCGATGCTGAATGGCTTGGAAAGACATGCACTGAAATCCGGGAAACGGAACCTCATCGACGTATAGTTATTATGACTCATCATGCACCGTTGATGCAAGGGACAAGTTCGCTGCAGCACCAAGGTGGTCTCATGAACTGTGCTTTTGCTACGGACATGTCGACTAGAGCCTGCTGGGGTAATCCAGTTACGCATTGGATCTTCGGGCATACACATTTCAGTTGTGATTTTATACACAATGGAGTTAGGCTTGTAAGCAATCAGCGGGAGTATGAAGGTATAGAAACGGGACGCGTTGAACTTGATGAGGATTTGATTCTCTCTCTCTCTCAACATTAGTTCGCAAGTGTGTTAGATACCCGGGTGGTACAATTTCTGATGTACGCCTATAATATTTGAATAATTCCATTGCAGAGCACTAAAACTAGAATGAAGGTGCATGATGCTTCTAAGTTCTCGCAGAAATTTTTGGAGACTGATAGAGACTGGACCGATGAACTGCAGAGAAGCAACATCTTTGCCAAGTCATCTTACATAGTAAGTCATCCGAAAAAGCAATTTAGTATTAATACATACGTCCTTAATCCATATATGGACTTTTGGGGAATTGAAGGAAGTACGTCAGAGCCTGACAGAACACGGGGGTTTGAAGTCGAGAGTTCAGCGACAAAGTGAGGTGAAGCATTGGCGCATTGTATGTGATCTTACTTTAAACGTTCTTTTCGATGCGCAAGGGATCTGCCGACACTCGGACCGCTATATTACAGGATTGACAAAGCCAAATGCGATTGAATCGATATCAATGGGAGCATATGGATTCCATCTCAAGGCTGTTCTACACAGGAGAGATTCAAAAGTTTTCTCCGGGATAAAACTGAGAAAATATTTAAAGTATTCTCTCGGTATTTTTGGATAGAATATGTTAACAAGACACATGATTATATTTCACCATTATTGTAAAAGATACAGCAGCCACAAAGGGAAGCAGGCCTTACACAAAGTGGACAAAGATTGAAAGAAAACTTCATTTGGGGTTTTCATTCAAACTTTGTTCAACCTTTATCAAAATTATTTCCTACCGTTTTGGGACTGGTTTTGTTTGGGAAAAGCGGTGCAAATAGTCTTTGCTTGGTTTCAGTTTTTTTCAGAAAAAAAAACTGAGCTAAATTATCACACGTTAGCCACATATTTTCTCGCTTCCCCCCCATAGAACGGCAGCTATCCCCGCTGTGCTAACTTCTAACTCACTGCAGAGTCACTAGTGCTCACACATCCTCCAGTTTTTTTTCTGGATCCCGACATTTTACAACTTTGCATGCATCCCATATACTTATTGTCATAAAGATATGCCAATATATGTGGTTATGTGTGCTCGGCCAGGGTCATTGGAGACCCGTTTTTGAACGTGCCATAAGTCAGATGATATTATGGAAGTCGAAGCCAACTCCAAAGAACGCTTTTCGGCAGTATGGTCTCAGCAAGGCAAGCTAGAAGGATCTGGTACCGAAGACCCTAGCATGATCCACACAAGTGTTATCATGATATAAGTAAAAGTACTTAGTATAGATAATCGTGCAGTTGGTTCACATTGTGAAATTCTTCAAGTCCACCGCCTACCATCTATTAACAATGGCAGCCTCTGTAATCTCAAGGGACAGGCTAGATCAGGCCGCACTTGCAGTCCATCGCGTCCTTACTCAGAAGGGTTATGATCATGTATTTTTTGGCGGATACGAGCTTGAAATTATGGGCAACAACAGAGGTACAAGGATGTGGACGTTATTGTCAAGAAGCCCTTTTCTAACGGATTCGACAAAGTCAACAAGGCTTTCAAGGAAGACATAGAGTTTAGTGTCTTTGATGGGACGAGGACAGATGCGATCCGTGCTATCCATATTCCAACTGGTGTAGGCATTGACATCATGTTCTGGTGAGTGACGGTTAGAAGTTCAAATATCTCATATACTTACAGACTTGAGGACAATAGGGATTTTCCTAAGAACCCCGTCGCCCTCCGAGGGGATGCATATGGGTTTCAATTCTTCAATTCTATGGATATGTTTATCAGGAAGATCAAATGCTTAGCTGAACGTAACAAGCGGACTGATGCACACGACCTTATCTTCTTATATAATAATTACAATCAGGAGTTCGACTGGGAAAAGATCAAGAAGGCCGTGAAAGCTACCGATTGAAAGCAGAGAGCCTGGACTAATTATCAAGCTTACCCGGAAGTTCAAGGCATATTAAATATGCTTGACTAGTCACTAGGACTCAATAATGTCCAAACAAGTAGAAAAGGATTAACTGCCTTTTTTCCCCTGCAGTACCATTGAATAGTAATAAAGCATTATACACTCCGTGTCGTTGATTGATTGATTACATCCGTTTTTAAAGTTACGATTCAGGCCATTTTAATTTTTATAGCCTACGCGATAGCTAAGATCTACTCTACATACTTAGTGTATCCGAAAAATAACAAGTCATAGTGGAAAAAATGAAATGATAACAGTGAGACGTGCCTAAGATTAGGGAGCCGAAGCCAGAGAGTAATAAGACACCGAAAAGAGGGAAATTGCCATACACGACAATGACCAGGGTAGTCCATATGATGGCATAACTCCATCCATGCTAATATCACTTAAGTTCTTAAACAAATTTTAATGGTTAGATAGTAGAAGGCCTATATAAAATAGGTGTTTAAGTCGATGTTGCAATGTATACAGCTCTGGTGTTCATTGGATGGAACGAAACGCTGTGGGTAGGATGGACGAGTGGTTTAAGTTGGCAGATTTAAGTTTCTTAGAAGAATTTCCTGCTACCGTTATGGTGCGCGGGTTCAAACCCTACTCCTATCAAAGCTTTTTGAAACAGAGCGGGGCTTGCTTATCATGTCCACGCATCAGAAGGGGGAGGTTTTGCCGTGTGTATAAGTACGTCATTACAGTACCATATGGTCTTTCAAATGCAAGTATAAAACAGTTACACATAGTGTACAAGACAGATAGGTACTATGGTCCCCATGAGCTCAACTAGAATTTGAACTCTTTACTCGACCCTCCTCTTTTGTTATCCATCGCCTTCTGTCGTTTCTGACGACCGGCCATCTCCTTAGCAATCAGCTCGGTAAAGTCTTCAGCGCCATTTGCTCCAGGAACTCCAGCAGAACCCCGTGTAGCTGCTTCATAATGACGCCGTAACTGCTCGTCAGACATATTTTCCAACTCGGATGCGTCAATAGAAAGGTCAACGCCATTAGTCTTACGCTAAGAAGGGAGATTTAGCGATAGGATTTGTTAAAATGGTCGACAAGCTCACCTTTGAGCCACGCTCCTCTCCAAGAACGGGCACCTGTTGACCACTGGCGACTGCACTGATATCGTAGCCACGTTCGCTTCCCATAAGACCGCGCACGGAGGTTTGTCTCTCCGGCACAACTTGGTATAATGAACGAGGACCCGATTCGGCGGCTTCTGAGGGTGCTCTGGCTGCGTTCTTCCGTAGCTCCAAGAAGTCTGGGGTTTCCAAACCTCCTGGAACAGTAGACACAACACTGGCCATCCCTGATGGCGTCTCCATGCCCGATGGTGTCTGCATACCATCTGCTGGAATAGTTTCTTGAGTCTCTTCTTCTTCGGATTCTTCGTCACTTTCCTCTTCTTCTTCCTCTGTAAAAAAATACTGAGTAAAACGGAGAACGGCGAAGAAAGAAAGCGCATTACCTTCTTCGGGTAATAATTCTCCCCATAATTCTTTATTGACAGGCTCCCCAATCTACAATTTCAGTTGGTAATGTGTAAGGATCGACAGAGAATAGAAGACGTACATTCTGATCATTAGCTTTGGGAAGTACACCAAACACGTCGCCATATAATGGGCGATTGTATTCGTCGAGGGGTGGCTTACCCCATCCTCCAGGGTGGAAACCCCATTGGGCTCTTTGATTTATTTGTGAATAAATGCGCATTTCATAGAAATCAATACATACCCTTCCGGAATAGGAGCGTTCAGTCCGGGTATTCGTAATGTTGGATAACTAGGCGGTGGACCAAACCGCTGCATGCTGATGAGCCATGGTGGAGGCGCCAGGGGAGGAATGGACAGAGCTTCGACTAGCTCAGGAGACAGGTCTCCAGGCTTTTTCTCTTTCAGAGACGTTTCAAATTCTTTGCCCTCATAATACCTTAAGAATAATTACAGTTTCAATTAGTAACCATATACTATTAGAAATGAGAGATACATACATCTCGCCAAAAGCAGTTACCGGTGGTTTAGTCTGGTACTTAAAGAAGGCATCATGAAGCTTCTGATAGTCGATATCCATCTTTCCCATCTTGGGTTGAACTCGTTCTCGTGTTTTTGCTTTCAATGACATGTTTGCTTCTTTCTCCTTAACAGCTTCCCGCATTGTTACAATACCAGTGTCCGCGATGTACGCTGGTAGTTGGAAAGGAGGCTTCTCTATCCCTCTCTTCCCTTGCAGATAATCGCGTTTAGCACTCCAGTGTGCGGGTACGGGTATCGTATTCCGGTGACTTTTGAGATGGAGAAGTAATCGAGGATCGGCAGCAGACACATCCGTCCATTCCACAACTTCCGGCTTTTTCACCAATTGCTTAAGCTCCGCAACAGTAAGGCGGTTAAGCTTCCTCGCTTTCTTCTTCGATAGGGGTTTGTTTTCTGCTGCATCCGAGTCGCCATCCGAGGGCATATCGTCGTCTGAGTAGATAATTTCGCCCTTCGAAGATTCGATGTTTTTCACCTACAACTTGTTAGCTAGATAGAACAGGGTCAGATGAGTAGCACTAACTTTCGTTTCTTCTGGAGGCAACTGGAAGCGGGCAAAGACATCGGCAAATCCTGCAAGACTCGGGGCATTCAAGTCTAAGGGCTCGGGTACGTACTCTGCAGGTTGCTCGTCCGGTTCTTCCTTAATTTTCATCTCAACATCAGACTCTTCATTCGACTGAAGAATAAATAACAAGTGAGAACCAGAAAGTGCGAGAGACGAGCGGGAACATACAGTTGCAGCCTTGGCCTGACCCTTCTTCTCCTTCGCCTTAAGGCGCCGTAGCTGGTTTTTAGACTTGATTGCCTTGCCATTGAATTTAGCCTTTGAGTCGATACCATTTGACTCTGCAGTTACTGCTTGAGCGACCATGTCGGAGAGAACGCGATGCCACAAGTACAAGAGAGCGCGTACCGGCGCTTACTCATACATCTCGAGCGGAAAGACAATCTTCATTCAATTGCAATAAGTTTCTAGATCACCTCAGTTTAAGCAACCACTCATTAAATATTTCTACAACTATGTACAACTAAACATGACCTATGACTTCTCCTCCTTGCCGGATTTCGTCTCAGACTCTTTACCCTTCGACTTAGAATCCGACCTGGTAGCCTTCTTCTTATCATCCTCTGCCTTGGAGTCTTTTCCTTCCTCCAACTCAGCACGTCCATTAGCTGCTTTGTTATCGACCAGTGCATGTAGGGCAATGACTGCACGGATTAAGCTACTTAAGTAGACTACTAACAGTTGATCGTTGGTATTGCTAGTAAAGCTCTTGGTCTTGATTGGATCATCGAGGTCCGGAAGTAGATTTAATGTGTCTTGAAGATGGTATATGATTTGATGGTTGACCGGCAGTATCCCAGCTGCTACTTGCTTCAAGTAATCCCGGATTTCCAAGAGGCGAGACTGAAGACCACGCAAAGAAGCTAATTGGTTTGCAATGCGGGTAGATAATGTCGTAGTTGTTGAGTCCTTGATATCTCGTAGCAAATGCTCGACACCGATTTCTTCTGCTTCTTCTGCTTCAATCGCAGATGGGACATGCAGGAATGTTTTACGCGTCTCTGTGCCATCCTAATAAAATATTAGCACATGATTCCAATTACAAACTTCTAGGACGCACATCTTTGATCTCCTCCACAGCGAAATACGCGTCGGTAGGTATACCAACTGCTTGTTGTCGAACATCAACGATGACCATGACTGGACGGGCGATATAGCGTTTGAGTAATTCATTGATCTCCAAGTCTGAAGCCCGCAGTTTGGGTCCTGAATGATACCAGCCAACCATCCTCTCCCGAGCTAGAGCAGTAGTATGAGACACCCTGATGGTTCACAATCGGGTAGGTACTGACCATTAACCTTCTTAAACATTTCCCACATCCCTTCGATGTAATTATGGTCCAGGAAAAATGTTTTGGGATCTTTCTCGTCTTCCTCGAATGGGATGGCGAAAGAGTTGGCCACATTCACGGTTTTGCCATTATCTTGGCCTAACAGGACGCCGACGACGCGTTTGTTACTTGAGTGAGCAGAACGAGCATGATGGTCTGCAACGGATAATAATACTAAAGGATGGACAACTGCAACGTCTTTCAGTAAGCCGGAGGAAGTAGAAAGGGTGGAAGTTTACAACGCACTAACGGTGGTTCCTGAAAGGGCAGCAATCTAATTGACAGCAATGATCAGAATATCGACTTAGGGGACTGCATATATCAAAATTACCTGTTCAGCAGTACTAGCAACCATAGTTTGTCGTGAAAGTTGAGTATGGTGAACGCGCGTACTGCTGAGTTTGAAGTTCTCAGCCACTTCGCGGTACGCGTCACCTTCAAGCACCTTAGCTGTAACTCATTCCACTATGTCCAGATCCTACGACAGAGGTATGTATCGATATTCATGCATTTTATGATCACCTTGTTTATTTATGTCGGGAATGTGACCCTAGCTCTCACCGTATTCTCGCCGGATGGACATTTGTTTCAAGTGAGTCGATCTAGGCTGCAACTATACTTTCCAAGCTGATTCTGACGCGTATTCAAAGGTCGAATATGCTTGGGAAGCAGTCAGAAAAGGCACATGCGCCGTACGTCGCATCTTACCTGATCCAAGAGCTTTGGACCTTACACATTTTAACAGGTTGGCGTAAGAGGCAAGGACGTTGTGGTGCTGGGTGTCGAAAAGAAGTCCGTGCTGCAGTTACAAGACCCTCGTACTGTTAGAAAGGTCGTGATGCTTGATGACCATATTTGCCTCGCTTTCGCCGGTACGAGAATCAATCTACCGTTACTGCAGTCGCTTAATAGCCATTAGGTCTTTCCGCGGACGGACGTGTTCTTATTGATAAGGCACGAATAGAATGCCAGAGCCATCGTCTGACTGTAGAGGATCCAGTCTCTGTGGAGTATATCACTCGTCATATTGCTGGGATTCAACAGGTAACTGGCTAAAACATCTCCAAACAACTTAAGTACTCAATAATCCCTTTACAATAGCGATACACTCAATCTGGAGGTGTTCGTCCTTTTGGTATTTCCACGTTAATCATTGGCTTCGACCCGCAAGATACCCGACCCCGTCTCTATCAAACCGAGCCTAGTGGAATTTACAGTGCATGGAAGGTGCGCTAGCCAAGTCTAAGTCCATGGGTAACAACGCTAATATACGTTAGGCAAATGCTATTGGCCGCTCGTCCAAGACTGTTCGCGAATTCTTGGAAAAGAACCATAAAGATGACATGTCCCGGGACGAGACTATTAAGCTAACCATCAAGAGCTTGCTAGAAGTCGTTCAAACGGGTGCCAAGAATATTGAAATTAGTGTAATGGAAAGTTTTGGTAAAGTTACGGTCAGTAATGCAATCCTATATGCGTAAAATGATATCTCATTCTGGGAAACAGACTCTCGACCTTTCCCAAATTGAAGCGACCGTTCAAGAGATTGAAAGAGAGAAGGAGCAAGGTAGGAAAGGAGGCTTTTTCGACCATTATCCATGCTTACATCTATACAGAGGCAGAGCGCAAGAGGTCGCGCCTCGCTGCTACCGCTGCCGGACAGGCTGCCATG